ATAACTATCCAAGTTTGGTCTGGTCTAGTCTGATCTGGTATGGTCTTGGACAGATTACAGTCCAAGTAAAAACATCCTAATTCAAAAGAGTTTAAATTGCAGCGGAAGCGTAATATTCTATGGGTGTTACTGCCACATTTGGTTCTCCCAGGCCACAACCGAATGCACAGGCTAAACCACAATCCAAAAATAATCATAAGTGCTAAGTTCAAAACTGAAGGTAAATAAAACAATGACAAGTTCTAAAATTCTGAATTTAATAATGTACCTAGTAACTAGTCTAAGTGATATACTGGGCTCTTTTGATCAAGCATACTCTTCATCACCTGCACCAAATAAAGTGCATGAAACAAAACAAAGACAAAAAAACAAAAATTAGCTTTTTAACTAAGTAAGATCCACCCAACCCCTATAAAATAATAGTTTCAAGAAAATAGATTTGCTACTTAATGTATAGATTCAAAAATCCATTTAGTTCTCAAAATACAATTCTCAAGTTTAAAACCACATTCACCATTCAAAACAACCTTTGAGATTCAACAAAATAGTTTATAAATACTTATTCATATAGATTTCATATTCCGATAAATACTTATCCACAATTAATTCTACAAAACCATTTACTCTTCAATTCAAAAAATATATTATCCAAACTACATGAATACCCAGGTTGTCTACCGGTCCTATCATATGAACATGTTGCTCATAGATTACTCTACTCCAAAGATCATTATGAATTTGTAGTTCATAGATTACTCAAGATTTCATTATGAACACATGGTTCATAGATTACTCCACTTATCATTATGAACACATGGTTCATAGATTACTCCACTTATCATTATGAACACATGGTTCATAGATTACTCCACTTATCATTCTGAACATATGGTTCATAGGTTACATATCATTATGAACATGTAGTTCAAAGATTGCAAAAATATCATTTAACGTCAAAACACTTTCTCAAAATACACATTTCAGATTTAGGTCTCAAAATCATATGTCAAGCATCTCCAATTCAAAATTAAAACTCACAAATTAGGGTTTACCCAAAACTAGTTTAAAAATAGTATTTGATACCATATTCAAAAATACTCCAACAAGCATATTTCTAACTCCACAATATATATATATATATATATATATATATATATATATATATATATATATATATGTAAATATTCTCACCAAATTATACATTTAAAAATATATAATTTGTCTCAAAACAATCTCCACAATTTTGTAAGTCAAAATAACAATTTCTCACAAATCACAATTTCGACTATATAATTACTCAAAATTCACACGTTCCAAAATTACAAGAAAATCATATCATACTCAAATAAGTCTATCATGGCTGAATCACACATCAAATTTCATAATAAACAATCTCAAATCATAGCTCAAATCCTAATTAATACATAATAGGGCAAAATAGTAATTTTGGTTGCAATAGTCCTTACCTCGAGGCTAGCAACGAATCCTAAATGACAAACCTAGTCTGAGAGTTCATTCACAAGTCCCTAGAGAGATATAGAGTTTTGAGATCACAATTTAGGAGAGAGGAATCAAAAATAAACGAAGAACGATAAGAATTTGGCAACAAACACACTTACCAGAAGATTAGATTGAATGATCACATTCTTGGCCTCAAAGATCTTCTTGGATGTGTTAGGATTGAATGTCTGGAAGAAATAATGCTTAGGAAGTCGGCCTTAGAATTGTTTAAATGAAGAAATTCGGAGTTAGGTTTCTATATACTAATAGGTCAAAATTTGGGCTTGTGGGTCAAAAATGCGTCCACACGGTCGTTCACACGCCGTGTGAGAAGCCGTGTGCTCCGGACAGAGACTCCTATGCTTCACACGGTTCTGCACACACCATATGGGCAGCCGTGTGCTCCGGGCATAGACTCCTATGCTTCACATGGCTCTACACACTATGTGGTCAGCCGTGTGCGGCTGGAAAACTTCCCACCTTCGTTTTAGTTCCTATCTCGCATCACTTGGGCCCGCTTATGACTCTAAACACCAAACCCAATCTATTTAACTATCTGGACACCTTCTAAACGATATGCAACGTAATTTTCTTTATTTCTCAATATTACTCAAGTTTTCGGGGTATTATTTAGCAACCCTAATTACAAGTTATATAGTCGAAATTGTGATTTGTGAGAAATTGTTATTTTGGCTTAGAAAATTGTGGAGATTTTTTTGAGAGAAATTATGTATTTTTAAATTGGTAGTGTGATGTTTGTGATCAAGGGGAGGTAATCAATACACAAAATCTGATCATCGAAATGCCTCAAAGATGTAGCTTTTCGCCCTGGTAAGGTGCCTTATACGTAGTATTTATAATGCTTCAGTAAACAAACAAACGAAAAGTGCATTCTTTGCCAACTAGTAACTCAATCAACAATAAAGATGTACGTTTTCAAATAAGACATCTTTCAGCAAGTCAGCAACTAATCACTCAACAAAAAGTGTAGTTTCAGGCTATAGGCATTTTCCGTGGCTAATAACTAAAAATTGAATGCATTTTTTTAGTAACTAGTAACTCAATCAAAAGTTATGATCAAAAAACAAAAACTCAATCAAAAGTATAGTTTTAGACTCTCAAACATGGCACTTTTCAGCTCCTCATTAGTCAGCAAAAAAAAAAACAAATTTCATAGACCGCAAAGTTAAAGTTACAACAAGCATATTACTCATATATAACTCATAGGTAGCCCCGTAGAGACTCAAAAGAAAACTCCCAGCAAGCATATGTATCTACTAGTATATAACTTATACACAACCTCGTAGAGAACCAAACATCCAAACAAATTTACATTTTTGCACACTTTTATGTATATCACACACAACCCAATCATCCCAACAAAAATCACATTTTTGCTCAACTCTTTGTGACTTGTGAGTATATAAATAAGTACACTTTCAACAGCCCTCATAGATGCAATATCAAATTTCAATATTCTATATTTATGTACATGTATTTCAATAGCCCTTTGAATGATACAAAAAGCCAAAACATATACTATCGTATAACCAACAGCATATTTTTCGGTATCCCATAATCAATAAATTATGCGCCACTTGAAAAATAACAAATATTCACAATGCTCAAATACCAAGCAAGTAATAAAGAAAGCATTGGTAAATTATAATATTTCCAGTTGAAGCGAGCCAAAGACTCTAATTGTCCTTAATTCTCAAAAGATAATTAATATTAGAGGAAGATAAGTTCATCCTTCAAACAAAATATGAACAGCCCACACAAAACGTCACAACATCAACAAATTGATTTGCTCCTATGTGATTGAGGTCTTTGATAGACGTCAGTTTCTACTTCGATTGAGAGTCCCTTTCGTGAAGGAAAAACTTCCAAATATTTACACTTAAAGTAAAGAGATGCCACCAATCTTACCCAAAATGATTGTGCATTAAAGAGTGAACACGCCATAGTATCTTTTGCAAATAAAGCAATGTTCCAATTAAACCTCAATTTATATGGCCAAAACCATCCTCATCCTTGAGTAAACAAAGCTCATCCCGATCAACTTTTGAGTGTTCCCCCCTCCCGATAAAAGTACATAGAGTATCAACCTTATCCAATTCCATTACTGGTGAATGAAAGGCTTGTAGCAAAAAAAAATAGATTACATCCACCTTGAATCAAGAATTTGATAAGTGAAGTGGCAAAAGAATGATCTAAGTCTAGAAAGGTGGATCCAATATTGACAAAAAGATTTTCCATTAAACCACACCTCCAAACTCCAATGCACAACAATTAAATAAAATACAAAACAAAAGAAAATAATGGAAAACAAAGATAAAATTAAGAATGTGACTTTCCATAAATAGAAGCCCACATTTACTTGTGAGAAAGTTGCACCGAAGGTACATGTATGGACTATGGACGTTGTTTTTGACTATGTTCCAATTTGTTAGTTGTCACATAAGCTCCACCATGTCTATTTCTTTTTTGCATTTGATAAGGTGGAACCACAATTTCATTGGAGATGCCCTAACTAGGAAGGATTTTAATATTAATGTCATAATAGTGTCATGAAAAGGTGAGTATTGAACCTCAAAACATTTTTTTATGCCAAGGGGATACCAAGATACTGCACAGGAAGCTAAGGAACCCCTTACAAAATCCTTAAACTCCAATATATTAACCTTTTCGCAACCAAATCAACCGACATAAAAAGTAACAAGTTTACGTGAAGTCAAAAAACTAGTGTTAAATTGTTATTGACGAAACTTATACATTTTGAAAGTAATTGTTGATTCGGGATGGACGCCAACCGACTCTGATACTGTAGGTTCTACCAGACCAAGGACCAAGTCCACACCTATGTGGCTATGTGAAATTTCAATCCACACAATTGAAATGAATTAAAATAGAGAACAAACTAAAAAAGGAACCTTATGTGTTCTATAATTTGTATCAACAATCAAACATTCCATACCAGATTACATCAAAATGGAAACCAACGAAAATGGAAACAATCAAATTAAACCAAAGATGGATCGATTCACTCTACCATCTAGGGGTGGACTCGGGCCGGGCGGCCCAACCCGGAACCGGCTCGGCCCGGTTACTGTTTGGCCCGGCCCGGCCCAGGGCCCGGTGGGTCCATCGGTTCGGTTTGGCCCGGCCCGGGTGATGGGCGGTCCGGGCTCGGGCCCTGCTTTAGGTGAACCAGCCCAGACGGTTCGGGCCCGGTCCGGGCCGGATTTTGTTTTTTTTTTTGAAATTTTTTTAAGTTTTGGGTTGGATTAGGTACTTTGGGCCATTTGAGGTGGTTTGGGGTGGTTTGGGGTTGAGGGGGAGGGGGTTAAATAGGAGAACCAAATAAAAAAAAAATGGATCAGTTTGGCCCGGAACCGGAACCGGCCACCGGCGGTTCGGGCTCGGGCCCCAGTTTTCTGGCCCGAGGCCCGGCCCGGCCCAGGCCCGAACCGGCCCGGGTACACCCCTACAGTGCCATCAAATAATATCATTTACTATCATACAGTCATTCTTCATAACAAATTAACAACACGGGGAAAGCATGAGTGCAAGAAGGCAACAAGATCCTAGAGTTTCAACATGGACTCCGTTATTGCATTATTTGTCATGGAGCCATGATGGAGGGCTCTTATCTCTCTTCCAGTCTCATTGTTTAATCCATGATAGTTAACCCAAATGAAATATTCTTCGGATTAGTATATCCAGAAGACGCCAACAAGCAGCCATAAATTAATACACCGTAGAGCAAAAAAGGATAAATCGTGTATGGTATGAACCCTAAGGCTTGGAGCTTAGGACCATAAATTACAACTTAATGGCAGGTCAGTTTTAAATATAAGAACACAACAAATAGAAGAAGAAAACTCAATAGACTACTGGCGTTGGATTGTGTATTTGCTCTAAGAAGAGCAGCAACCAGCCTTCTTTACTTCTGAAACGTCACTTTTACCGCCAACATTAATGGTCTGTCCTTTGGGCAAAGTTGCGACATCAGTCCCAGCATCGAGAGCCTTCCTACTAACAACATGGTGTATTTGAGTGAGAACCTCAGTGAAGGCATTCTCAACATTCATGGACTCCAAGGCAGAGGTTTCCATGAAAAATGTGCTCTCTTTTTCAGCAAACGCTTGTGCATCTTCAGTCGAGACTGCTCTCAAGTGACGCAAGTCGGATTTGTTCCCCACAAGCATGATGACAATGCTGGAATCTGTGTGGTCGCGCAGCTCCTTCAGCCACCTCTCCACGTTTTCGAAGGTGACGTGGCGGGTGACATCATAGACTAGCAATGCACCAACAGCTCCTCGGTAGTAGGCACTCGTGATCGCACGATATCTTCACCACATTCAAACACAAAGTCAAATCAAAACTTAAGCAAGAAAAATTACGATTCATATCAGCAATTTTTAGAGAATATTCTGCATATTGGAGTAAAAATGACATGGTTCTCCAATTAGAAGCATAAATAGGACCCACTCAATCCTAAAAGATGTTTTAACTCCCTTAATTCTACTAATAGGCTGCAATGAATCCTACTCTAGAATGAAAAAATGGATTTTCCTGTATCTGCATATGACTCGTTTTATCCTCTCATTGCAGCAAGTTCTTCATTTTTCACTGATGAAAGCACATAATTTATAGCCAATAAGAACATCGAGAGGAGAGGGCACATAGTTTAACAGATAATTGTAAATTCAAATCCACTGAGAAAAACATTCACAAATGCGCAGAATACCATTTATCATTGCTCCACAACCTAGAAAGTGAGCAAGCTAAAATGTAAATGGGGAATGAGAAATAGGACATCACTAACATGATACTATAATTCTATAAATTTAAAAACAAACAACGTATGAGATGGTACTCTTGTCCTACTAAACAGTATGAAAATAGATAATTTTAAAATGTATCTATTATACTTCGTACATCACTTAGCAGTATGAAAAGTCTTAACTACATGTCTCGAAAACTGAGAGGATGAGATGGTACTCTTGTCCTACTAAATGTGCAGAGGATATCTATGGTTAACTGCTTGGCTTAAAAATATGGAAATGGTCCTGAGAATCAGAGTGTTATGACTTATTATTTTTGAAAACTTTCAACAACGTACAAAAAGGCCAATATTAGCAATTCCTAAGCAAAATAGCTCTGAAGCATGTGTATTTTATCTTGAGATAATAACAGTCAGCAGAAGTTTTGCCAAGAACGAATGTTGATGTAACATTTGTGTCATAGCTTCCTAATGTGATATACTTCTCTTTCTGAACCTAAACAATTAAGCCTAAACACCACCGAATCATCTAGAACTAGACAATAATCAACATCGGGAAAGTGAAAATGTTGTGTCTTTACAGAAAATCGATAGCACATTGCTCACAACACTTCTAAGAAAAACAAATTAAGGAGCATGTCAACATCATTAGTTCCCGAAGAGAACGAGTATGAATTCATGCTAAAGATGTGAGATCTAACTGAGTTTCAATTAAAAAATCGCAATCAATCTCTATCTGACATAATATTACCCAACCAAATTCTAGCATACTAGATCTACTTGTACACCCCAATGCGACCTACATGCGTGCAAAACCAGGCCAGGAAAACTATAATGCACAAACCACACTCGATTCGATAAACATCGAAGAAGAGGCACACATCAAGTTCCAATGCTTATACACAGAGAAAGTGGCAGTGAGATGAAAGTACCGTTCTTGGCCGGCGGTGTCCCAAATCTGGGCCTTAACGACCTTGTCATCGACGCGGATGCTGCGAGTGGCGAACTCGACGCCGATTGTCGACTTGGACTCGAGACTGAACTCGTTGCGGGTGAACCGTGAGAGGAGGTTGGATTTTCCGACTCCCGAGTCGCCGATCAGCACCACCTTGAACAAGTAGTCGTAATCGTCGTCCGCCCGATACGCCCCCATTGTTGTAATAGTCTAACAGGGGTTGCTCTGCTCCCTCCCTCTCAATGTATATGCAGAGAAAGAGAGAGTAATGAATTGTTCTGAATCTGAATGAAGAAGATGGACGGCTGAGTTTGAAGGGGGTAGAAGGAAGATCTGCCAGAAATTGTGTTTCGAGTAACTCCACCTGGAACGTATTCTACAAGTTGTTCGTCTGGAGCTATTCTACAAAATTATTGATATGATAAAGTGAATATCAGATTTGATCTGTTTGTTACCATAATTAAAAAAAAACATAACGGAGTATCTATTTATCTTTGTTGCGGTACTTTCATCAATTAGTATACACAAAATTCTCTAAAAATGTTTTGAAATTCCAAAATATGAGTATCATGTTTTTTATTTCCTAAATAGGAGTAAATTTTTGTCAAGTTTGGCATTACAAGGCTTTTAACATGGCATTTTTTTCCAAACTTGGAAGATTACTCATATTCAGGGAATAAAAAACATGATACTCCTATTTTGGAATTTCAAAACGTTTTTGCTCCTATTTAGGGCAATTTCTGATTATTATACATATAAATTGATGCTAGAGTCCATATAAATTTCACATCCAACACTTTACAAGAAAATTGTTGTTAATAAGACTAAATTATACAAACTTTGCAAGAATAGGACTTGGTTAGCTTTTCTTCATTTGTATGCTTTATTTGGTTCTGTTTTAGAAAACTTATTTTTTAGTTTCCGTCTTTACCCTCCACTGTAGTTTGCGACTTAAAGCCCAATAACCTTTATCAACGACCGATCTCTTCCGCAAGGGCCATTTATTCTTCTTTCGTTCTTTGTATGTGAAATCACGCAAGCTCATGTTCATCGTCTCTTTAATCATTCATGCTCGTTTCTCCATATCCGATCGTGCTCGTATGGTCCACGAAGTGTGCTGAAGCTTCATTCATTGAGCTTCATACGTTTTGCAAATTTTCTGCACCGTTTTGAAAGTTCATCACTCATTTTTTCAAAAAAAAAATGTTATTGTTTGATGTTTTCATATATAAACGAAATTTGTATCACTTTTTCATCTTCAGGTTTGAATTCTTATTCTGGCCTTGAAATTGCAATTCAAAACGTTTTGCTCTCTGTGTTTTTAGTTTCTAATAATGTTGATTTCTGTTTTTTCTATTTCATATAATTCTTTAATTGTCTTATAGTGAACCAGAAATTGTCAGTTATAGTCCAAGAACTTGCTGAAATGGAGGTTTCAACTGATGCAAATAACGTGCTCGGAAACTTTCCTGAGCCATAAACCAGTGCAACCACCCTAAAATCTGGAACGGTCTATTTTAAGCTTGTTGTGCAATTATAAGCTTCCTGCTAAACTTGTTGGACCGTTAATATAGCTAGCTGGCTAAATGGTGTTGTTGTTTTGCACCCCAAAAAAACTGTGATAGCTATTGTTGAGGTTTATTCCTTCAACCCTCAGGCCCAACACGTAAGCCCAAGGATTTCGAGTGGAGTGAGTATATGAATATCTAGCCCAACAACTATCAGATGGATCAGGAAACAGAGGAAATAGCAGGCAATGTAAATAGGTATTATTAACTTCGTAATAACTTCCCTAAGTACAATCTACTTGCTAAAAAGGCACGTCGGCCGTTCGTCTTACAAGACAGCTAGAAGTGCTACAAGTAAGAATGCTGAAGCTAGTATGCTAAGAATAGAAAGTTGCCAACCCTTTACAATGAAATAAATGCTTCTATTTATACCCGCCAATGGGCAGGTGGCTATACTGACGTGGCAGCCTGTGGACCGCTGGTGCCCCAACTACCAAATCTTCAGCATTAAATGCACTTCCCGCCAGAATCTAGGTTTCCCGCCTAATCAGTGGGGACGCTCGTCCGCCCGGGAAGTGAGTTGGATCGCTCCAAGTGACCCTCAAGAGATACCGGCTGTTCGTCTCCTGGCCTTGATAGATACTCACCATGTGGACTGGGTTTCCTCCGATGACTATAGGCTCGCCATGGGGACGTTCGTCGTCATCCCTGGTGGTCCGTGGTCCTGCTCCTTGTCTACGCACAGGCGTTCGTCGGGATGAGCCGTTGGGCCTGAACCCCCAACTCCAGACGTTCGTCCCTCCCCAAGGAACATGGGCCTGCGTGCTAGCCTTGTGTTCTAACTGGACGTACGTCTGATAAAAAGGGATTAATGGGCCGGACCTCGGCTTGGGCCATTAACCCAACACAAGTCCCCCACTTCTGATGTTCTGAGCATGCGCAGGACATAAGGAAGTATGAAGTCCCTCGAAGTTGACGTTCGTAACTTGGTACTTGTGTCTATTGCATCCGGTGGAAACGTACGCTCGTGGTCATGGTGCTTGACAGCTGTTGACGGTTCAGGAATCGAGGTGACGGCTGCTGTAGCGGCGGTGCACTTTCCCGAGGAAGTGTCATCATTACGCTTCCATCGCACGCACGGCGCGTGAGCCGGACCACGCTCCTTGCCACGTGTCAACCCTTCGTTGGCCCCTTAACCGGTGCTCCCCCTATAAATGCCGGGTTTTCCCCCTGAATTAGGGTTCCCAATTCCTGCTCCCTTGCTTTAAAATCTCCGCTGTTCTTCGAGTTTTCTGCTTGGTTTTTGAGTTCAGCTAGCCTCTTTGTAAGGCAATTCCCCTTCTGCTTCTTTTTCTGTCTTAATTTCTCACCGAGATGACTTCGATGGAGATCTCGTCAAGTTCTGATTCCGGTTCGTCGGGTTCCTCTTCGGGCTCCTCTTCTGACAATATGAATGCGCGCTCCCCGGGAAAGGCCAGCGTCTCTGGGACTTCTGGTTCGGCCACGACGGTAGGGACCATCCGGGATGATGGAGAACCGGATGACGCTTCCCAAGGCAGTGGGAGCGACGCCGGGGACGGGAACGCCGATGGGGCAGTGGACGTTATTGATGCAGTCCCCCTGAATGAGCGCCCCGCCGATTATGATTCTGGGGAAGAGGCCGAATCTGGTTCTGACATGGAGGTGCATGATCTGGGCATCCCCACGGACATGGAGCGCCACATTTGTCCGATCAGAAGCGCCCTCGACCATGATCAAGTCCTCTCCCGCGTGGCCCTTAACAAAATCCGCACCTTTTTCCCCCCGCCGTTCGTCTGGAGCGTGAGAGGCGCCGAGAACGTGATGAGGAGACGTCCGGGGATGATCATGCTTCATTTGGACTCCGTCGAAGCCGGGCTGCGGTTTCCACTTCACGCATTTTATGTGGAATTCTTCCACTGCTTCCAAGTGGCCCCGGCGCAATTCATGCCAAATTCTTATAGGTTCATATCGGCCTTCTTGGTGCGCTGCAAACTTGCGGGAGTCGATGCCACCTTGGATCTGTTCCACTACTTCTTCCGGATCACCCCTCAGAATTCCGACGGCTATCTGAGCGTGGCCGCACGTCCGGGGAGGAGGCTGTTTAAGAGCTACCCCTCCTCCATTCATGATTGGAAAAACCGGTTCTTCTTCCTTCGCTATGATGGTCCTCCCCTCTCAGTTCGTTGGAATGGCTACCCCCCGAAGATAGAGTCGCCGGAGTTGACCGATGATCTGAGCGAGGCCGTGGAAGGCATCCTGCAGGGCGGCATTCGCCCCATAGCTGGCTATCTAACCTTCGAGGCACTCTCGGGGGCAGGCATAGGTACCGCCCGTGTCCTTGGATTTTTTCCACCCTTCGACGCTCGTCTCGGGGCACCGGGCGGTCCTGTCCTTCGAGGTGAGTGTCCTTTGCATTCTCTGTTCGTCTTTTAACCCCTTATGGTTTTCCTGCAGGTTCTCCGCCAGACAGAGCTCAAATGAACCACGCCGAATGCCTGAAGACAAGGAAGGCCAAGGCGGCCGCTGCAAAAGCCGCGCTGGCGAAAGCCAAGAACGCCCCCGCCTCGGACTCCAATTCCTCGGCTTCTGATGCTGCCCGACGGACGGCTGAGGGTGAGCAGCACTTAATTGCCACTATGCTGGCTTAGGGTTCCGGGGCCCCTGCTCTTGAAGCTGCCCTTCCACCGCCGGTCGTCTCCACGAAGGCGGCTCCTCAGAAGGGGACAGAGAAGGTCCCCGAGAAGAAACAGAAGAGGGGCCGTGAGGCAGGCTCCACTGGCCCCCTGCTTGAAGATGCCGGCTCCCTGCCTTTGAGCCGCCCGGCGGAGGAGCTTTGGAGGGAGATGGCCCTCAAGGCTGGTCTCGAGCTGCCCCGCCGTTCGTCGTCTGAGGCGACCAGCGCTGCCCTGGCCGCCGCTCTTCAGGTATCCCTTCTTTACCAGATCCGAGTACTTTTCCCCCTTGACGTTCATCTTCTAACCATTCACTATTTTTTCCTTCCGTTATCCAGTCTGGGCTTCTAGTTCTTCAAGCTGAAGCCGCCAGAGAGGCTGACCTGAGGGAGGTCAAGGCTAAGGCCGATGCGGCCGTTGCTACGGCCCGGGAGGCCGCTCGTCGAGTTGAGGCGGAGGCAGCGGCCAAGGGAAGGGAGATTGCAGCCCTGCAGGCTGAATCTCGCAGTCAGTTAGCCGGTCTTGAGAGAGCCGGCTTTAAGCTTGTCCCGGTGCTCCCTGCTGCCAAGGATGCCACCCCGGAGTGGTTGGTCGACACCTCCGGCTACCGGAACACTGGGGAGTTTATGGACTCCGCCAAGGACTACTGCGCCGGGGCCTTCGGCGATGTGTTCTCCGCGGCGCTGGCGAAGATCCCGCGCTGGCGAAGATCCCGCCCCGGATCCTGGAGAGCTCCCCCTTGTCTCACAAGTTCCTCTACGAGGTCGGTGACAGCTCCTTCGCCGCTGGCTACAATGAGGGGGTCAAGGCCACCCTTCCCATTTTCTCGAGGCTGCAGGGGGCCGACTTCGAGCTGGCTGCGAACACAGACGACGATCTGCTGCTTCAAGCCTTGGGGAAGCTGGGGAGGGACCAACGGCGGGAGGAGGCCAAGGCTAGAGGGGAAATTCCGGAACCCCCGACCCCCGAGCCCGAAGCCGAGGAGGAGGAGCAGATCCCGGGAGGCAGCCGGCCTGAGTCCCCTTTTATGGTGTAAATGTAAATTGTACCCCTCTTCATTTTGCGTTTGTAATGCCCGGTCGTTAGAGCCGAAGAATATACACGCTTTTTCGCCCAAAATTGCCTCTACGTTCATGATCTTTACTTCATATTTGTACTTTTGTTTCCTTCATCGTCTGTTGTATGGGAACTCCTTCGGAGCCTCGATACACTTTGTCGCAGGGTTAAAGTCTGCGAGGACGTTCGTATCTGTT